CTTGAAAATCTAAACTCGATCTTGCATTTCTGTCGTTTCTCCTCATTTTTTCAAAATTTTCAAGAAAACTATTCCTTAACATCCTTTGTGCAGAACAATGTCCCTGTCTATTGTGTGTGTGTGTGTGTGGGGAGGGATGAGATACAGTACATCTTTACATGCACAGCAAAGGTAGGCAGGAATTTAGCAGAGAAAACAACAGATTTGCAGGCAGACTAAGTGGTTGAGTGAACAGGTTAACAGCGGCGGGGCCTTGAATGGCTGTGACAGGGAGAAAGCAGTGAGAGGCTCCAGCACTGAAAGGGGAAGTGACCCGGAAACGGTGCGTAAGTGCAGCTTGCTGGGCCCTTTCGGAAAAATCTCTCCAGAAGCACTGATGCAAGTCCACCTAAACACACATTTCTCTTATTTCTCTGGCTGCAGAGATGCATTGCTCAGCTACACTCATGCGCTCTAACAGCAAAGAAAAACAGATAGTGGGGGAGACCTGGATCAGAAACTCCTGAATCTTGATTCGTGCATATTCTCAGTACTTAGAAAACACAGAGTACTCGGTCTAAGCGAGGGACAGCACTGTTATATTATGGATGCAGATCAACCTTTGCTGCCACAGTGTGATGACTCACCATGACCCACCTTTAGTGTGAGTTAAGAATCTCGGCTCATATTTTATTGTGTGTTATGAAACTGCACATCTTTCTACACGGAGCTGATAAAGGACAAATTGATAAAAGTACCTGTGCAGTTGCAGAAGCCTGTCGTTGTGTTTCTACTCCTCTTTGTTCATTTGTTACTAGTTTTACATTATAATTTCACTCACTAAACTATTTGTAACTTTCTGTGTTTATCATATATTATTTACATTTAAAAGAATCTCAGACTTCACTCATGTCCACGAAGAAGTAAATGTGAGAGAAAATATACTTATTTTTTGTCGACCTTATGTTAAACTTAGCCTTAATTGCTGTTGGTCAAACCTACTGTGTACAAACCGTCTTTTCATCTTTTGTAATAACTTTCAAACAATCATGACTATTTTTCATTTTTAGCCAATAATATTCAAATTATAATCTTGTCTTGATGTCACCATGTTGCAGTAACTGATGGTGTAGCAGGAACTTATCTACTAATATATAAATACAAACGTAATATATGTGTGTATATGTATGTGTCTACTACCAATAGTAACCTGATCAATCTACTAATAATCCACAACCAGTTTCCCCATCTTTTTTTAGTCCTTGTTATAAAGTGATTTAACAGAAGTTTTATCAGAAACCAACTTCATGTTTTTAAATTTTATGCGAAAATAATACTGAAAATCAAAATGTATAATCATCTCAGTTTGTGTTAAAGAAAAGTTCAGTTGGTGTTGATTAACAGCAGCGTAAAATGGTCTAATTAACAGTACTGATGAATTAGATTTTGGAATAGAAAGGCCTGAGAGCAAGTATGAAAAGCCTTCAAAGTACAGTTCCAACTTTTGATCAAGACTCACACAGGAAGCAGGATCATCACTGACTTTGCAGCACAGAAATGAGACAACTCAACCCTTCACTGAGGGAGGCAGAGCTTAGAAATGAATAAATAAATACAGGGAACTGACCTGATGTAACGTGTGATGAAAATTAACGATATGAAACAGGTGATTCGACCTGAAGCCGATTTTGAGCCTCTGGAATCAACATTTAAGTTTCAGAAAACATCCAATGCCCAGAGTTTGACACCGCAGAGATGAAAATGTACTTTAAAACTGTAATTATCTGTGATCACAAAGATTTGAGATCTTCTAAAATGATACCAAAGTGTTTTTAGTCTTGACCTAAAATCAAATGAAACTTAAAAATAAGGATAAAAAAAAAACACACCGACATTAAAGTCACATTTCTTGCATCTGACCTCAGTTTTAAGCCAAAACACGCAGCAAAAAACTTCAAACATTACTTTTTTTATTGCAAAATTCATCATGGTCATGATATAATAACTGTATTCACAGCTCAACAGTCGGTCATATTAAAGATCAAGTGAAAATAAACCAGAAAAGTGTTCAACAACAATAATAATATAAGGCCATATAAATACAAAACGAAGTATTGCTCCACAGAAACTTGAACATTTCAACATAAGAGATGGAAACGATTACAAATGCGTTTTTTAACCGAAGTTGCTGCAGCTTTGCTCTTAACGTACATTCAGTCTGATGACATTACTGCGCCAAGTAAAACTGCTCAGAGGAACTTTAATGCATGCACAACTTCAAAATATCAAAAACTTAAAAAAATATATGATAATAATAATTAATAATAAACATTTGGGGACAGAAAAGTGGCACATGCATGTCTTGGATTAGTTGATATGTTTACATCAAAGTTTCAGGAATTATATGAACTCAAAAAATACAATAAAAAAGTGACAGGCTCATATAAAGTCCAGACATCCAGAGGAAACCATCAGTCCGCATCAAACAGGCCAAAATACTTGCCAGTGTTGGAGAAGTAGATGTAAGGCGCCGCGTTCGCAGTCGGGTAAATGACGGGGAAAGGCATGGGCAGCAAACATCCGTTCAGCAGGCTGCTGTCTTTGTAAAAAGTCGGTAATTGCACGTTTTTCCCCGCCTCCGAGAGGTGCTCGGCGGCGAGCGGGCCCTCCATGTCCGTGGACAGCTGCCGCTTCAGCTTGTTGCGGCGGTTCTGGAACCAGATCTTCACCTGGGTCTCGGTGAGCTGCAGAGAGCTGGCGAGGCACGCTCTCTCCGAGCTGCTCAGATACCGCTTCATGTCAAAAGTGGCTTCCAGCTGGAAGATCTGTCTCTTGGAAAAGATGGTGCGCGTCTTCTTCTTCACTGTGGCTTTGGTGTCCGTGGTGCTCTGCTGCTGCTCGGACGCGTCTTTGGCGCCGTGCGCTCTTTGCGCCCCGGCACAGGAGGTGGCTGTCAGCGCTGGTGTGTGTTCCCCGCGGTCCGCAGGGTGGACTCTGGGCTTCACTGTGAACAGAGCGACAAAACGTCTTTGGATGCATGTGGTAAAATCGAGCACACACTCTTACCAATTCATGCGTAAAAACGCACAGATCGCACATAATTAAAAAAAAAAACTATGGAAATAGCTACCTCCAATTTGAGACATATACAAATAATTCACTCGTTGCTTAAATCCACAGTTTACGCATGGTTCTGCCTCTAAACACATCTGTCAATCTGTAAATAAATGTAGTATCACTCCGATAAATCACTTTTGAGAGAGAGTGAATAAGTCCCCCGAGTTACCTGTCCCCTCTGACCGGCTGTCATCTCTCCTCCGGACGTCCCACACCTCCTCACACTGCGCTTTAAACTCATCCGTACACCCACCGTCCCTCTGCGTCTTTGCGCCCTCGGAGTCTCCGGGGTCCAGCTGCTGCCGCAGGTTGAGGATGCTGTCGATGGTGAACGTCAAAGAGGCGCTGCGACCCGGGGCGTCCCCTTTGCTCATATTCCCCGGCATTTCATGCGCTCCTCCGAGATTCCCGAAACACCAACGTCCCCGGACGCTCCGAGCACCATCGCTCCACGGCTGCGACTAGCGCGCGGAGGAGCCGGTGAGACGCTCTTCTACGACCCGGAAGAGTGCGGTTTAGCAGCTTGTGATTGGTGCGGGTTGTGGGGCAGATGAGGGCGGGATGCAGGTTTCCCGTCTGGCTGCCATATTGTTGCTTTAAACACTTGGCTGTCATCAGAAGCTCAGTGCACCCTGTAGGCTACCGACCAAAAACAAGACGTGGCTCGAGTCCTTTTATTTTAAACCTTGGAGTTTGCATCATCATAGATTTCCGGGACTAATATGTTGTTTATTTATTAAATGATTTTATTTATATGCCACATTCGCAATGAGTCTTATTCAAACAACATAACATCTTCCCTTTAAATATGCAACTGAAACAGTAATGTAGGCCAATTCAAAATTGTCTCTTGGGTCCTTTAAGCAAGAAAACAAAATATAGTGCTGTAAAAAAAATATAAAATGTGCTTTAAGTTACATGGAAGGATGCATGTGACGAAGTGACCCTGTCAGTCAGGAGACCACAGAACAATTTGTGCATACATTTTATTCACATGTGAACATCAGTGTACAAAAATCTGTATTATAATCTTGTTAAATAAGAAATGCCACAGATTTGAGGGTATTTCAAAAGCTCCCAGCTATCAAAAGTCACAAACACTAAAATGGCTTTTTCATACATGATCAGTAGGAAGATTTCTTTTTTGCATGTGTCAAATGATCCAATGATTAAATCCCCAGGACAGGATGTGTATGGGCTCAAATAAGGGTCAACAATATTTAGAGCTCATGAAATAAGGCTCAGAGAGAACTTTAAAACCAGGCATGAGTTTGTAAATGTGAGGAAAAGAGTCCAGCTCATGTGAAATACAATTTAACATATAAATTGTGGCACTGATTTTTAACAGAGCCAATTGTGAAGAAAATGTGTTTACTATAACTTCATTGTCACCCACATTGTGGGAACTTTGAGTTTTTTAATCTGTACTATTTCTTCTTTGTGTGACTTCTCCTTGATATAAATTCTCCACAATTTTTTATTTTAACGTTCTCACATTTTCTTGACAACTAACTTGTATTTCTCATGCAGTTTTGTGTCACAGTCAAACACGAACACTAGTTTTGAAGTGATGTCCGAGCCAATTATTCCGCAAGCTTGAAATATTATGACACTTAAGTGTTCCCATCTGTCTGTGGGTCATCCGTACAATTTTGAGAAATAACCACAAAATAGAACCATATTTTAATTCTGTGTGATCTTGTGTGTAGTGTCCTCGGGGCAGTTATTGTGGGAAGAGTCCAAAAATATCCATCATACCTATTAAATCTAAGGGAACATATAAAATGTCAGGTTTTTATCATGAATTGAAAAAAACACTGCTAATGTGGAGAAATTGTTTTGTTTCAAGGAGAATTAAAAAGCTACAAAGAAGAATCCCGATGGCTTGATTTAAATCTGGCTTTATTTCCCAAAAGTTGCCTCTTGAAAAAGTCCTAAGGAAACAATTTGACACAGGCTGAATTATCTGCTGTGCATGAGCACAACATTTGATTTTCCCAAATCTGAACTGGTTGTAAAATGAAATGTTTTGCACCATCTTTATTTAATGATTTGTCCAAAGAGTCACAAGAATGGCTGTAACTTCTCTTGCCCCTTTAAAGTCACACCAGTCCAGTCATCTGTGGCATCACAAACGACACAGGATGAGTGAAGTGAGAAGTCAATGGATAGTTAATCACATTAGGGAAGCCAACAGACAGTGGTGACCCTCGGTGCAGGCTGCTCAGCGTCACAGGCGCAGCGACGCTCTCGCGATACAGCACGGGAACTCTGACGACCCTCTGTGCGGCGTAGGGACGTGCGGCGGCTGCGCTGCTGCCGGCCTCCATGTCCTCAGCGATCTGCCTCTTCCACTTGTTCCTGCGGTTCTGGAACCAGATCTTCACCTGGGTCTCCGTGAGCTGCAGCGAGGCGGCTAGGCCGGCCCGCTCCGTGCTGCTCAAGTAGCGCTTCAGGTCGAACGTGGACTCCAGCTGGAAGACCTGACTACGGCTGAACACGGTGCGGGTCTTCTTCTTGCGGGCCACTTTTGTGTCACCTGAGAGCAGGAAGAAGGAGAGATGTTTTTGTTCAAGGTTCCCATGGTAGTTTTCTTGCACATTGATCCAGGATGTTTTTGCTACGCCACTGCTAAGAAGCTTGTGAAAACAACTAAAACATGATTTCTGCAGGACGAACTGATGGTTAATAAAAAACCACAAACTGTCAGCTGATACATCACACTGCTTAAAGGGAAACAACAACAAGTTAAAGTCTGCAGCCAATTTGTAGCCTGTGTTATGAGCTGGGTGCATGCGTAATTACGCACTCCCTGTGCTTTCCACAGAGCCGAAGGTGGACCTAAATTAAGAGTGTAGCGTGGCTCTATTTGCTCTGGCCGCACCTGGGTCCGAGCTGTCCTCTCGAGACAAGCAGGAGGAGGGCGCGTCGTCCTCTCTCTCATCCGTCAAACTGTCTCCCCCCTTCTCCTCCGCGTGCCCTGTTAAAGGTGGGGAATCCCGGTCGCTGCTCGGTAGAGGGTCGCCGTGCTCATCCGAGTAGCCGGGCTTGTACCGTGGACCTGCAAAAAGAAAACTCCCTTAATCATGCTACATAGGCTAAAGTGCTCGTACCCTTGTCCAAAACTGTAAGAACGCAGTAGGAAAAACGCTCATTGATTGCTCGCCGTCCACCACCGGAGTTGTGTGGATGCCAAACACCGTACAAGGCTGATATTTGGAGAGTTTGGGATTTTACGCACTGAGACAGAGACAGTAAAACGTTTTACAGACTATTTGTCGAGTCTACTTATGGCCGTGCAGAGGTATTTTATTATATATTATATAATAATAAAAGTTAGCTGCTGTTGTGGCCCGATTCTGGTCCACGTGGTGAATTGTAGACCTTTACGCACGGAGTAGGATGGTTTTACGCGTGACGTAATTAATTATATCTGTGTACACGAGTGATGCTTTTCCACTGATTTGTAAGATCAGCTTTAAGTGTTGTCACGACCCTAGTAAGCGCCCCTTAATCCTACTTATCCAGCATATCAGCGAGGTTATCTGCCGGTCAAATTAAAGCGACGATTTCAGATCTTTTGAGTCTCGCACCTTTTATTAGCTGATTACAGTAAACAAGTAAAAGCTTGTGTAGATGGACACTCACTCCTTGAGCTGCAGTTCACTGTGTTTGGTGACGTCCCTCTCCAGGTCAGCTCCTCTTTCTCCAAACGTCCGGGACACATCACCGGGCTGTGGACGCTAACTCCGAAGTCCGAGGTCTCCTCTCGCTCCTCGGCTGTAGCTCCTCTGTCTGCAGTTCCCAGCAAATTCTCAATGTAAAAAGACGAACCTCTCGACGCAGCGCTGCGCTTCGATGTCGGCGCTTTCTCGTCCAGCATTGTGACGAAAACACTTCCCCAGATATGAATATTATAAAACCATTCCCGGGAATGTGTATGCTTCCCAGACTGGAGTGTCTCCTGCTCCGCGTAAAACCGCCCAAACGCGATCCATGAGCGCAAATTCAGCTCAAGCCTCTAGTTGCAAGAGATCCGGACACAAATTCAAACCATGAAGCGACGAGATATAACTCCAGACAAACAAAATAATAAATCAAAACCGGAGTGTCTCGTTGTCGGGAGCCTCTCCTGTCGGCGTGGTTGTTGTCTGTCTTGAGGCAGCGCAGAGATGCTGTATTTAGGTCAATTAGGGAGCAAACCAAGGCAGAGACGCAGAGTTGTCCTCAGGGCGGCAGAGATGGAGGGAGCTTCATGAAGAATGGCACAGTACCGCCTATTGGTAACATCGGTCCATGCACACTTTATATTTACTGTGCACTGTAAGATTTAAACTCTTATTGAGTTGCCCTATAATTATTAAAGACACCATTTCTTAAAGGTAATATGATTTCATTGATTAAACCGATTTCCATTATAGTTTGCATCAGGGAAAAACAGAAGATTGTCAGAGCAGAGCCTTAAATACTTATTATTATTATTATTATTACACTATAGTTATTAATCATGTTTATGTGTGAAGTGATGAACAGATTATCAGAGTTTTGAATGTGTGAGCCAAACAAACGAGTTTTGAGGCCTTTGTTTGGAACAAAACAGAATAATGTGCCTGGTGAGTCTTGAATATGCTCAGTGACGTTTTAACCCTTTTCAGCAGTTGAGTGCAAAAGTCTTTAAATGTTTTTGATTATAGTTGTTTTGTAAATTACTCTAAAGTCTAATATCTGAATATGTGTGTAAAGTATTTATTTGATTCATAATATTTAAATTCATGCTGTAGACATGACGCACAAATATATATACATATTGTTATATATATATTTATTGTAATATTTTTCATGAAAAATATTTTTAAAATATAAGTTTAAAAAGTCACATAATATCCACTTTTGCCAGATTTACATAATACACAATTAAGTAAAATTCTAATGCTTTTAATACCAAGAGCTGAACTCCTGGATTTTACTTCTATGTTCATTATCTGTATGTGTTTTTATTTTTTATTTTTTTGTAAATTGCATTTTGCACCAGATTTGCTTCTAAACCCGTTGTGATGTCACAAAATCCTGCTCAAACAAACATCTGAGACTCTTGATGTATTTAAACTGAGCACATAGAAACTTTGATGAAAGTAAAAACAAGGAAAACATATTTTTGAGCATGGATGACTTTAAAGCTCGGTTCCTTTTTCCTGTTTGTTTGCGAATGTGTGTTTTGCAAATTAACCATAACACAAACATGAACAGATTCACCATCTCGTCACTTCTGGACTTGTTCCTCCCTCAGCGAGGCTTAAAGGACCAATCAGTGTCCAGCACAGGCCTCACAGAGCTCCCTCATTCTCACACTGACAGGCTGAAGGAGAAGCTTTTCACCACAACCTCTCTGAAACACTCACTTTAGGTTATCTGTGGAGAATTGATATTTTTATTTTCCTGGAAACAGCCCCTGTTAAATGCCCGTAGATGGAGTGACAGTGTGTTGCAGCTTAAAAAAAGAGTTGATTAACACTGAAGGGGGAAAATGTTTAGTCAGCTGCAAGACTGTGAAAGCTGGAGTAAAACAGCAGTGCGTTTGGAGTTGTAATAGGATTTAAACACCATGAAAAGCTTACTTTCATCTGTAGGGAAGCTTTAACAAATTCTCAGAACATTCCAGGCTGCACGTTCTCAGGCTGCATGTTGACAAGCCGCATCAAATCCAACTCTTGCGTAGAAAAGTACCTCACAGCACAACACTGATGTTAAATCTCAGCGGTGAGCGTTGAAGAGAGGCAGAGAAAAACAAACCATTTGTGTTCTCAAAGGAATTCCTCACAATTCTCTGTGCCACAAAATTGACTTTGTAAAAGCCTCTTTGCTGCTAATAACCTATCAACCTCTTACTCTGGATTCTGAGCTGCGCACCATATTTCACATACTTCCCAAATATGCTTTTTGTAAAGTTTGAAACAATCGAAATGATTAAACTAATCAAGCAGCAAACTTACTGTATAGTCAGCGTTGTGTGAGTGTAGCCTGCAGCACACACAGGCGGTATGTCTTGTAGTAGTAGCAAATATATATTTCATGAGCAGGGTAATTAGAAGAGTAAGAAAAACTACTACTCTAATCTGACGTTACATTTATATGCATTTATACACAGGATTAAAAACATTTTTTCACCTCAAAGACTCTGAAAATGTGTTTTTTTAGTTAAAGGTTTGTCTCTATAACTATTATATAACAAAAAGGTAACAATTAACTTTCAGAACTGCTTCCTGTGTATTGTATGGATGTGGTCGGATCAGGTGCACGGAGATATTTGACATTCCATTTTTGAAATTAATTCCTCAGCCGGCTTAAAACTATAAGAAAATCACAAACCAAGCAAACTTACACATTAATGGCTCTGTTGTTGTAATAACCAAAACTTTAGCAGACAGTTGTGAGTTCATGTTGGACCCCAAGATACTCTT